TCCCCTGCCCTAGACAGGGGGCCCTCCCTCCTGTGTTCTCACAGGAGCCCCCACCCCGTAGCCTCCACTCACGACACCCCGTCATAGGAAGTGCCCTCATCCTAGAATGGGCCTGAAGGTAAGGGAGAAACATAGTTGCAGGGGTGACCAGCTAGCTGGGGGAGGGATAGGGGGCAGTGCCCACCCAACATGTGGACTCTGTGGACCTTTCCTGGTGTTTTGCCTCCCTCCCAGGTGGGCAGGGGCAGAACCAAGTGTCTGGACTTCCCATCGGCCTCGCCCTTACAGATCGGGAGGAATATGAGGGTCAGGCAGACAGGTACAAGGTGCCTGTCACCCTAGCCATGCTGCTTTCTGTGGCAGAAGCCAGGTCAGATAGGGCTGTATGGTGCCCTGTGTCCTCCCTTCCTGCTGGTGGCAGGATGCTGGGCAAGCTTCCTGCCTTTGTGTCCTCCCTTGAGGTGCTTCGGCAGGGTGTAGGGGAAGACCCCAGGGAGTGCACAGCAAGGCGCCTATAGTGTGGGCAGGCTTACTTCTTGCCCTTGCGCAGGGTGAGTGGGTCCCTGAGACAGGCAGGGTGGGCCGGGCCGCAGGCCCTCAGCCTCATGCCAACTTGGCTTGCCCCGAAGCTCCCGGTAGCCCGGTTCTATCCTGGGACTGAGCCCTGGGCCTTCCCTCCTGCACCCCCAGGCCCTGGCTTGCACGTCATCCATCCCCCGAGGGCCATTGTCCACAAATGAAGCGAGCTCTTTGTCTGGAAGTGACTCAGGATGCAGCCCAGGGGCCTTCTACTGCCTTCTCAGCTGGGCTTAGGCCTGGGAGCCTGGGCTGTCATACTCTGGGCAGGAAGCCTCACAGCTCTGAGGAGCTGAGGAGCCAGCCTGGGCCCCGGCCCAGCAGGCCTTCAGGAGAGAGTGTGCCTGAGGGGACCAGGTGGGCACAGAAGACTAGGCAGTAACCTGGGGCTGCTCATACACATCCTGGGGCCTGGGCACTGGGAGCTCTTGTTTCTTTGAGCCCAACAATTTCATGAGGCAGATGGTGTGGCACTAACCATGCAACTACCCTGCCCAGGCTGCATGTGTGTACACAGAGTGGGCCACAGGATCACAGCACTGGCTACGAGAGGGCCAGGAGGGAGACCAGCGCTCCTTATATTCACCACACATGTGCCACATGCCAGGCATAGAGCAGAGTCCAAGCCCCACGCTCTGTGGACACAGGCCCAAACCAGGCCCACACTGTGCCCTTGTGCTATGCTGTAGTAGAGGGGCTGTGGCAGCAAGGAAGGGGCAGTTAGAGAGGGCTTCCTGGAGGAAGTGCCTCAACAAGAGGCCCAGTATGAGGAGGACTGGGTGCTTGGAGGCCATGGTCCCATCCAAGAAGAGCAGGTGGAAAGCACAGGAAGTATCAGCTCTCAGAACCATGGTCAGAATCATGGCTCTCAGAACTTTGGTCTGACTGCTGCCCTGGTCTGGCTGCTACACCCAGGAGTGGGTGAGGGATGAGGCTGGAGTCAGAGGCCAGCTGAGGAACCTGGGCTTTGTCCTCGGCTGTCTGCCCCACATTTCTGAGAAGTTTGCAGGATATGACTCTGGTGAAAAGTGGGCAGGGCCCTGGGAGAGACAGGGCGCAGCCTCAGGAGATGTTTCAGGGAAGCCAGGACAAGATTTGGTGCTGGCTAGAGGTGGAGGGGAGAGTTGGGCTACCTACACCTTCTCTGCAATGTGGCCTCCCCAGAGTGGGCAGGTATGGGGTCCAGGATGCCTTCTTGCTCAGAACAGTGGGCTCTAGGTGCCACAGATTGCTGAGGTGGGAGGAGTCCAGGAGTCAGGGTAGGCCTTAGCCTCCAGGGAGGCTCTCTAGTCTGTGCCCACCCTCAAGCCTAGCTCAAGGACGCTAACCTTCACACACTTCGGGGGCCCTGCCCCAGTACTGGGTGTCGTAACCACCATCCGGGCCAGACACTGGGCCAAGTCGCTGGAGGTTGAATCACTGTCACAACCCTAACCACACACAGGCAGGAACTTCCCACTCACAGCCAAGAGAGCCGCGCACAGGCCTTTCCCCAGGGTACACAGGCAAGGGGCCCTGGAGGCGCCATTGAGCTGCCTGAGCCACACAGCCAGGCAGGCCCTGGGCAAGGGGCCACCATAGGGTATGATTTATACCTGATTCCACCTTCTGCTGAGGCCGGACCAAGCCTGCAGCCCCACTGTCGAAATGAGTCAAGTTGGAAGGGAGACTGCATTTCCTGGGGATGCCCTTTGGTGACTGGAGAAGGTCCCCATCTAAGAAAGCATCTCAGAGAGCCGGATAGGAGCTGAGTTTGCAGAGCTGTTGGGGACTTGTCGCACCTCAGGCGCACTCGCTCTGCCAGGCCGTGGAGACGAGAGAAGCAAGTAAGACTGTCTAGCGACCGGAAGGTGCTGGGAAGAGTGTCTGGGGAGGGTCTTCAGGGAGGCCATGGCTTTCTGGCTGAGGTCCCAAGGATGCAGTGGCACAGGTCATGGCCCAGAGTCTGACATGGAAAGGCTCCATATGCTTCTGGGGCAGAAAGGTGGCCCAGCCCCTGGAAAGTCCTGCGGAGGAAGCCCAGGGTGGGCTGGGGTGGGATTGTTGGGCCTGGCCATGGGCATCTTAGAGCAGTAGCTAGAGGAGAGGAAGGCGTAGCCCTGGAGCACGGTGACCAGCAGGGTTGAAATCAGTCTCTGGTTGGTTATAAGCCATCTATCAATAGTGGCTCATGTCCATAGCTTCCCGTAGACGTCAGACGGTAGCCGTTCAAAGGCCAGCATTGTGACTCCTTGACAGAGGCAGCAACAGAGACTCAGAGGTGGGGGAGGTTACACAGCTGGTGACAAGCTGAGCTGGAATTCTAGTTACTCGGTTGGTCCCCATCTCAGGAAGGCTGACCATCAGAGAAAGCTCACCACCCTGGCTCCACCCATAGGAGCACAGGAGCCAAGGTGCTGTGTGGGCCTGCGACTCCTCTATAAATGAGCCAGTAATGGCCAGGGGCACCCCAAGCCTGCCCAGTAGCCAGATTCCAGACCTAGGAAGACTGCGCCCACCCCAGCACCTTGCTGGCTCTCGTAGGTAGATGGGGCTGGGCTGGAAACTAGACTCCGAAGAGTGTATTCGTCTGTCTCCAGGTCTCCACCCCCTGCAGCCTTGGGCCACTGCCTGTGAACGTGTTTGAGCCACTCCATGACCCCAGCTGTGGGGTGTCCGTCTCTGTCAGGGAAGTGGCCCAAACCTGAAGGGCTGGTGCCCAGTGAGTGTTGAGGGGTGGTGACCTGTGTCCCTGGGTAGGCCCTCATTTCTCTTCATCCCATTGAGTCCTGAGCCTCAGGGCCCAGTGCTTGTCAATTCAGGATCCAGCAAAGCCCCTCTCGATGTGGGATCCCCAGCCCTCCCCTCTTGCATCAGAGGTCACCAAGGTCAGGGCCATATGTGAGGACAGGTCTAGCTCTGAGCCAAGGCAGGACATGGTGGGGAGGGCCTCTGGAGCCAAGGTCGCCCTTGGCTCCAGTGCCAGAGCACTACAGTGACCTGGGCCCTCACCGGGCTTGCTTGGCATGTCCTGGGCCACTGGCCTCAGCCAGCACGTGGCCCTCTACCCTCATGAGGTCAGGGCAGGAAGCTTTGCTGGCCTAGGATCCTTGTCTGGTGCTCAGGACGGGTCCAGAAATGGGCTGGAAGCCCCTCCGGGAGGTA